CAAAACAAAGTAACAAAAGGAAACAAAACATCAACAACATAAAAAGGCCTATAAATAGTTCAAGGTCTGTTTGTTGATCTTTACCAGTTGAAACTGATGGGGTGCCACACCCTGGCCCCACAGTCTATTTTTGGTATTCCCCCGGGACTTCATTGCTCTGCTCCCTTGCTGTTTTGTTGCACACCCTTAGGGTTTCACCTCAGTGTGGTGGGGTCAGATCGGGTGCAATTCCCGCACTCTGTCTCCAGTGTTGTCCCCTGTAGTGCTGTGGGTTAGTGAGCGATGTTGTGTCTCGTGGTGGGGCTGGCCTTACGGTCCTGTGTGCATTGGCTGCTCTGAGCAGGAATATCCTCCTCCGGGCTTGGTGGGCCAGGATGTGTTCCACTCTCTCTTCCTTCGTTTGCTCCTGTGTGCTCTGATCATCCACGTCCCTCTCCCTGAGCTGTAGCTTCAGTGCTGTCCTCGCACTGATTGGGTCAGCCCCTCAGACCTCTCTATTGGTTCCCTGCTTCATGTCAGCATGTTGCATTTGCGTCTTGGAACATCGGGTTGAAGTCTGGTCTCTCTTTCCCTGTGGAGATATAAACAACACCCTCCTCTTGGGTAGGTTACTGCCCTGTTCCCCCACTACCCATGTCTTTTTCCCCCCCTTCTTTTTTAGTAGGCTACCACATGTATCCCTGGATTTGGTCTAGCTCCTACCATAGTACCTGGACCTCACCCCAGACGTGTGTATACAGTAGCTTTTTCCCTATGCCCCTTTTGCATTTCAAGCTTACCTCAGCAGACTCCTTGTCTTGTCCTCTTGTGCTTGGCTTACTTCGCTTACCATAAAAATTAACAACTCTCTTTAAAGTCCCAAATGAAAGAAAACTCAGCCCTCCCTCAATGTTTACAGTATTCACATTCTTGGAAAATTCAGCAGTGTAAATATACATTATTCATATGTAAAATAGAATTAAGTTCTTGACCCAAAATTATTATAAAGCAGATTTTCACCTATTTTTTTTAAGCAGGAAGAGAGGATTCTTTTTTTTTTTAACAGTTTTACAAGCACTTCATCCACAGATCATACAATTCAACAATATCAAAAAGGGTTGTACAATCGCCACCATATTCAATTCTAGAACATTTTCTTTTTCCTTGTACTCATTGTTATTAATGCATTTTTTCTAATTATGCCAAAAATATACCCAACAAAACATTTTCCTATTCCACAACTTCTGCTTGTATAATTCAGTGCCATTGAATATACTCTTTGTATTGTGCAACCATTACTCATATCCTTTTCCAAATTATTTTACCACCATTGACCTAAACTCAATGCCTGCTACACAGCAACGCTGTCCCCTGACATCAGCCCTGGTGTCACTTGTTCACTTTCTCTTCTGAATCTGGCCTCAACCTTTGTCAGCTTCCTGTCAATACACCACTGCAGCTTTTGTTGGATGAGCTTCAGCAAATTTTACTTGCATGTAATATTAATGATACTGTTCTGTACTGAGCATTCTGCTGGGTCACTTTTCTTTGGAAAGGATACAAACACGATCACTGCCAGTCAGTTGCTGTCTTTCACATTTCTCGACATAGAAGATTGAGTGCTTCCAGCGCTTCATCAGCTTGTTGAGACATTTCAATTGCTACTCACTCATGTCCTGGAGCCTTGTTTTGGTTAATGCTTTCCGTGTAGCTTGGAGTTCTTTAGTACCATTGGTTCTTGTACCTCTTGAAATGGTGGAATGTTGACTCGTTCTTTTTGGTACACTGTATTCTTTCCCTCTTCCTTTTAATGCTTGCTGCATCATTCAATCTTTTGCCCATAGAATCTTTCAGTGTTGAACTTGTCGCGGCCTGAATTCTTTCTTTAGTTCGTTCTGTTTAAGATATGCGGAATATGTTATTCCTTTCTGTTTTCTAACTCTAGGTCTCCGTACATTTCTTTATAATATTTCACTTTGTCTTTTTGAGCTGCTCTTGGAAAATTTCTGTTTAGCTCTTTGACTACATCATTTTTCCCCATTTGCCTTAGCTACTCTATGATCAGAAGCAAGTTTCAGGATCTCTTCTGATATCCATTTTAATCTTTTCTTTCTTTCCTGTCTTTTAAATAACCTTTTGTTTTCATTATGAGAGATATTCTTGATGTTACCCCACAGCTGCACAGATCTTCTGTTCAATGCATCATTGAAATTTAGGTGGACATATTCAAGGTCGTATTTTGGCTCTTGTGGACTTGTTTTAATTTTCTTCAGTTTCAAGCTGCTCCTGCATATGAGCAATCTATAGTCTATTCTACAATTGTCCCATGACCTCATATTGAGCTTCTCTATCACTTCTTCCCAAAGATGTAGTCAATTTGATTTCTGTGTATTCCATTGGGAGAAGTCCATGTGTATAGTTCTATTCTGTGTTGTTGCAAAAAAGTTTTTGTGCTGAAGTTGTTGGTTTTGCCAAATTCAGTCATGTGATCTCCAGCTTGGTTTCTATCACGAGACCGTATTTTTCTAGCTTCCTTTTCTTTGTGTTTCCAACTTTTGCATTCCAATTACCAATAATTATTAATGCATTTTGTTTGTGTTTTTGGTCAATTTCAGACTGAAGAATTTGGTAGAATCCTGCAATTTCTACCACACTAACCTTAGTGATTGGTGTATAAACTTGACTACTATTTGCATTTATTGGGTTTCTTGGTATGTGGATAGACATTATCCTATCACAGACAGCATTATACTTCAAGACTGATCTCAAGGTGTCCTTTTTGACCATGAATACAATGCCATTTGTCTTCATTGTGTCATTTTCAGCATAGTTAAACCGTATGATTTTCTGATTCAAAATGGCCAATACCAGTCCATTTCAGCTCACCATGCCTAGAATATCAATCTCTTGCATTCCCTTCCATTTTAATGACTTCCAATTTTCCAAGATTAACATTTTGTACATTCCAAATTCCAATGATTAATTGATATTAGAAGCTGTTTCTTCTCGTTTGAGTGCCCCATCAGCAAATGAGGGTCCTGAAGGTTTTACTCCATCTGGTGTCAAATGATCAACTCTACTTTGAGTTTTTTCATTCATATTTTGAGTCCCTTCTGACTTGAGGAGGGTCGTCTTCAGGCACTATCTCTGACAATGTTCTGCTTCTATTCATTAGGGTTTCAGTAACCGATGATATTTCAATTCTATGCATAGGGTTTTCTGTAGTTAATTCCCCTGAAGTGGACAGCCTATTCCCTCTTCATTGTCTGTTCTTACTCTTGAATCTCTGCTGAATCCTGTTCACTTTGAGTGACCCTGCTGGTATTTAAAATACCAGTGTCATAGGTTCTAGCACCACAAGAACATACACACGCCACCACAGTATGACAAACTGACAGACAATACATACTATTTTCTATAATATTAATCTAATCTTTATTGGGCCCTCACTGAGTTCCACATACTGTGAAGAATTGGAGGATACAAAGAGCCTTAAGATGTTTCCTGCTCCTAAGTTGCTTAAAGTTCAGCCAGGGGAGAGAGACATACAATTTAATAGCAACTAACTGGTACAAAGCAGTCTGGTTTGCATCATCAGAATGAATCCCCTTCAAGAGAAGGTCTGGAAAGAGGTATCAGCATCCTCTGCAAACTTGGGAGCACAGACACGGATATTTTAAGCAGTTAGAAAATTCGAGAGTGACTGAAAAAACATGTATGTGCCCTGTGCCGTGGTAGGCAAGAGAGGTAACTGTTAGGAGACGTAGGAAAAGAAAGCCAATGCATTAGTTTATCATGAGCTGCCGTATCACTCATGTGTGTGTTGCTTGGTGCAGTCAATAAAGATCACTTCGTTGTCATAGCCAATGGAAACATAAAAATAAGCCTGTGAACCAACTGCCACATTCACCATTGCTGATCTGTTATTCATGAAATGTTTTTCTTGCTTCTGTGGTATCATTCTTTCCTGATATTTTTCTTCCATTTTTCACCTGGGTTCTTTTTTTTTGTTGCTTACGTAATAGATAGTTTTTTCCAGGTCTCCTTTTATGGCTCTCTTACCAATCTACATGTTATACACACACTCTAGGATTTATCATCCAAGTCTGTGATTTCACTTAATATGCCCAACCCATCCCAAACCTTTGCCCTGTGTTCCAGAACCTATATAAAGATCTATGAGTCACTATGAATCATGATTGACTCAATGGCAGTGAGTTTGAGTTTTTTGAGGTAAGATGAGTAGTGAGTTGGGGGGAAAAGCGAGTTTCAAATATTATATGGTCATATTTATGTACAAAAAGCCAAGTCCATGAGTGTCTGTGCACATACATCGTTATGTAAATGCAAAGAAAAGTTGCTGGAAGATGACAGCATATTGTTGGCAGTGGTTGCTTATGGGGCAAAGAGGAATGAGTGTTGGCAGGAGTAAGGGTAAGGTTGGTTTGTATGTGCTTGTCAGTATACATAACCAACATATATCCATTCAACACCTTCAACAAATACAGTTCAATTACGTTGGTTGTATTCTTCTCATTGTGTCACCAGTCTCACTCTCTCTACCTATAGTGCCTGTCCCTGAGCTTTGCCTCTGTACTTTAGAGTTATTGTTGTCTATTTGATCTCATAGGTAACTCTTTAAAAGAGCATACTGCTCAAGACAAATGATCTTTTCTAGTTGAGCAGAGCTGTTGTCAAGTTTAAAGATGACTTTTATAGAGTAGTTTCAGTTCAAGGCTCAAAGATTATCCTAGGGGCATAGATTCAAGGGTTCCTCTAGTTCTGATGGGTAAAGAAAGGGGATATTTACATGTTTTGTTGTTTACATTTCTCTATTGTTTGAATCTTTTACTAAGAGAATTAATATATTATTGAATTGAAGAAATATTAAAGACAAAGAAAGTTTTTGAAAAGGAAATGTATAGAGGTGCTGTGTTTTAGAATCTGGTAGCATAAAAATGGACAGACTGACACAAATGTTGTTGTTGTCTTAACACTATAAATGCACACATGTATTTCTGTCTTATCCTATCCTGGTCGTTAGAAATGTAGGGTCAGTCTTTTTGGTGTTTGAGTCTACTCAATGACAGTGACTTTGGCTTTGTTGTTGTTGTTAAATAAAGGTTAGTAAAAGCAATAATTTTGTAGTAATTGGAATGGTACCCAAATATATATCAATATTTTATGGTAAGTACTGATGAACATTAGTTAAGAAATATTTCTATTTAAAAAAAGAAAAGAAAGAAATAGTTTTATTATGTATTTAAAGCATTATAATGTGGATTTAAAATATGAATGTGTTATAACCATCTAACTATCAAACACCTTTATTCCATAATTAGAATCATCTTACAAAACAGTGGAGATTATTGACTCAATGGAACCAAGATTGAACAAAAAGGAATTTATTGAAGTAAGAAGTTACATTATTTAATATTTGAATAAAATAATTTTGCCAGGTTCAATTTTCTCCTGGAGTGAAAGTGTGAAACTTCCACTATCACCTGGTAAAAATCAAGATAAAAAAGCCTTTTAGATTGAAATAAAAGGATCTCTGATTTAAAAAGTGGTAAAGCACCCAACTACTTACCAAAAGGTCAGTGGTTGGAATCTACCAGCTGTTCTGTGGAAGAAAGATGTCAGTCTGCTTCCCTAAAGATTTATAGCCTTGGAACCCCAGAGAGCAATTCTGCCCTCTCCTACAGGCCACTATGAGTTGAAATGGTCTCAGTTTGTTTTGTGGGGTTTTTTTAGATTGACTGAAATATGGTTATAAGAATAATAATGAGAACTGGCAAAAAATAATACAACTTACAAAGCAGTTCCTATGGACCAGGAATTGTCTAAGATATTCATTTATTACTTCAGGCTTTAACAGTCCTCTTAGGCAGATACTAAATTAGTTAATGGCTTAAGAATATGCAAAAATTATAGACATTGGAATCCAGTTTAACTTTTATTTTGCTACGCTTAGAAATTGGTGTATACCTTGGCTAGGCATAAGTAAGGGACGCATCTCTACCTGGATTCTCTTCTCTGAGACCCTTTCTGTTCTTGCTGCATGGTGATCTGCTCTGAGATGGTCACATCCTTACACTTGAGTGTTTATGTCCATCGTACAGAGTCCAAAGTGTACATTTTAAATAGTGAGGCTTCATCAACTGTACCTAAAGGTTGTATATTTCTTTTAACACATTCTACTAAATTCAGGCTGCATAGTACTCTCTCTTCATAGTATGCTTGTGGTAGTTACATAGCCTGTTGTCAATTTGAGGCTTAAGAGTGAGTGAAGGGGTGGAGTTTAGCTTGTTAATCAGATCGCAGCTTGATGACCTCATATGGAGGCACTGAGGAGATAAGTAGCTCACTTGAGGCAGGCACATGCTCACTCCCTGCCAGCTATTTCTTATGACAAGACACATGGAGCTATGTTAGAGCTCAGGGAGCTGGAGGAGCCATGTGGGGACCCCTGCCAGTGCTAGACGCTTACACTGCCGCTGGATCCACAAGATTTTCCGCCCACTAGCCTGTGATCTTCCTGCTTTCGGCCTTATTATAGACTAGTATCAGACATATGGGCTAATATCAGACTTATGGACTTGATCTGGACTGAACTGGGATGTTTTCTCAATATTCAATTGCTCTTGTATATAAAGCTCTTTCTTACACACATATGAGTGTCTATGAATTTGTTTCTCTAGTCTACCCGGACTAACACAATGTTTGACTAGTTTTCTGTTCTGTCTGTATTTAAGCTGCATCTTATATTTTTGCTTGGTTTGTTTTGCTCCTTTTATTTGTTCTTTGAGCTATGCCAAGTCAGGGTAGTAGAAAGAAGGAGGCATGGCTTCAAGGGAGGTATGGGAAACATTATGTTGTGAAATTACATGAAGGAAAGTGAGAAATAATTTCTAAGCTAGGGCCTTTGGTGAACTAACTTTTAAGTTGGTGTGTGTCTTCTTAAATGCTTTTCAACTGTAAGGAAAATAATCTGCAATTTCTTATTACATAAACTTCTCTTCAGCACTAGTGGTAGAATGATGTACTTTGGCCTGGCATTTTTAGGATTGCTGAAAATGAAATATGGCCTTTGCTCAACTCATTTGTTGACTGAAATTTTAGAAAACCAGATGCTATAAGTATACTACTGCTTTTCTGAATATATAATTGACATTACTTTTTTTACAAGGTCCCTGGGTGATGGCAAATGGTTTGTGTTTGGCTACTAGCCTAAAGGTTGGAGGTTTGAAACCACCCAGTGGCACTGCAGAAGAAAGGAATGGCAATCTGATCCTGTAACTATGATTGCCAAGGAAACCCTGTTCTACTCTGTGGTACATGGCATTTTCCATGAGTAGAAATTGACTGGGTGCCAATGGGAACACGTTTTTTTTTTAAGTTCTTTCCCTAAGATTGGAAAATTAATTTTCTGCCCAAATGCTATGTGAACATACTATTACTTCAAAGACAGATAACAAATGTAATCTTTCTGTATACTTAAATATTCTGTACTCCTTGAGTTCAGGCATTTCTTAAATATATTATTTAAGTCAATACTCCAGATTAGTAGTTTCTAAGCATAGTTTTTTTCCCCTTATTGTTTTTATGTCACCAACTTCATTAACTCTCCAGTGTGGCTACACTTAAGTAAGGATGAATTCCAAAGGCCCCCAAACATTAGAATTTAATAATGTCTATTAATCAGTTAATGGGACTTTTACCACATTATCAATATTTTGGTTTTTAATTAAGAAGGGAAAAGCTTAGAATTCAGCACATTAAAACCTAGTATGTAAAATATGACTAAGTATAGTTTAAATGTTTAATAGCTCACAGAGCTATTAAATAGAAGAATATCAGCATTCATGTTCTTAAATTAATCTAAGTGATCTTTTCAGGATTTAAGGCAATTAGTTGATTAATTCTTTGGAAATAGATGAAAACAGAAAGGCTCCTCCTATGTATGTTCACTTTTTCTGCTTTTTCAAGAGACTCCGGAAAGTTTCTGTCATTGTTATATTTAGTATTTGATTGATAATTGATGTTGGAAACAAGGTATCTTTATGTTATACATCTCATATATAGAGAATACTAAAAACAAACAAACAACCTGTGCTTATCAGAAAAGCCACAGACCATGTGATGGTTGAGGTTTGTGCAACTACGCTGGATCATAGTTATGATGTGGTCATCCTCCGTGATGAGATCTGATATAATGCAATCACGTCCATGGTGAGATTTGCTATTAGCAGCCAATCAGCTGAAAGAGAATTTTCTTGGGGGTGTGATCTGCATCAAATATATATGGGCAAATGAATGGAAGATTAACTTGAATCACCAAAATAGGGAGTCATAGCCCCTCAATCAATTCCCAGACTTGAGCCAGTTCACAGACCTACAACTCCTTTAATAAAGGGGAGAGAGTGTCCCCTTGAGAAAGGACCACACTACATTCCAAAATTTTATATTCTGTGTTAGTCAGGTTCTCTAGAGAAACAAAATCCAGGACACTTTTATATATATATATATATGATAGGTTTATACAGCAAAAAGGGATATGATGGATAATTAGTCTACACACAGCAGTACAGAGGGCCAGGACACTTATCATATATATATATGATAGGTTTATACAGCGAAAAGGAATATGATGGATAATTAGTCCACACACAGCAGTACAGAGGGCTCAGTTCAACTCACTTTCGTGGAACAGTTAATATACCGAAGGTCCTTCAACCCCTGCGGGCTGCTGGTCCAAGGTCAATGAATCAGAAAGTGGAGACTGCCCTCAGCAAGACAGAGTCCCCCACACACACACCTTTTGCAGGCAGCAGATAGCAGGGTGGGGCAGCAACAGTCAGTAGTGCCTAGTGAAGCAGGCCCTGATGGGATCTCAAACTCAAGCGATGCATGCACTAGCAGCACAGTGAAGCAGGTCTCCAAGGAGCCTCAAGCTCTGGCAACATGAGCCATGGGTTGGCTCAGCCCACAGGTAGTACAGTACACAGTTGAGGCAAAGAACTAGCTCAAGCAGCAGCATGCTGGTTTGATCACCAGGGAGGAAGAGGGGCAATGCCAGACACTGAAAGTATTTATCTCGGTCACCTTCCAATCAAGCTATGACCTGATTAAACTCTACACACATGTTCCTATGGAGGCCTATTGGGCACAATCAACCTATCACAATTGTTATAAACCTATCACAATTGTTAATCTTTTGCCCACTCTTCCCTAAAAGAATCTGAAGCCTTTTACAAAAGGGGCAAAGGGAAAAATTAGACTTTTCAAGTTATTAATGGAGTCTAAGTTCAACTCTGTCTCATAGTGGGTACAGTGGGCCCTTGAACCCATCCTGCAGTGATTTTATCAGTTTCAGAATGCATAATTGGAATAGACATACTTGGCCCATTAGATCCTTGATACATAGAGTATGGTCATTTATGGTAGGAAAAGCTCGGCAGAAGCCATTAGAACTGCTCTTCCACAAAAAAATAGTAAACCAAAGCAATACTTCATTCCTGGAGGAATTAAAGAAATTAGTGCTACCATCAATGACTGAAAGGATGCAAGAGCAGTGATTGCCACTGGTAGATTATTATAAAGTTAATCAGGTGGTAACTCCAATTGCAGCGGCTGTTCCATATGTGGTTTTGATGCTTGATTGTGCAAATTAAGACCTCTCCTGGCACTTGGTATGCAGTTATTGATTGAACCAATGCTTTTTATTTAATTCTAGTTTTAACGGGTCACCAGAAGTAGTTGCGTTCAGCTGGCAAAGCCAACAATACCCTTCCACTGTCCTACCATCTGGTACATCAACTCTCCAACACTATGCGATAATTTAGTCTGCAGGCACCTTGATTGCCTCCCACTTCCACAGATATCACACTGGTCCATTATATTGATGGCATTATGCTGATTGGACTTAGTAAGTGTGTCAGTTGAGTAGACTAGAGAAACAAATTCGGAGACACTCATATATGTGTAGGAAAGAGCTTTATATCACAGAGTTATTGTATGTTAAGAAAACATCCCAGTACAGTCCAGATCAAGTCCTTAAGTCTGATATTAACCCTTATGTCTGATACCAGCCCATAAATTCTGCTTCAGACTCACACAGCACATGCAATGATGCCGAATGCAGGAAGATCACAGGCCAGTGGATGAAAAGTTTTGTGGATCTAATGGCGTTGGAAGCATCTCAGGGCCGGTGTGATGTGATGCTCCTCCAGCTCTCTGAGTGTGGCTCCTCATGGCTTGTCAACAGGAAGCTGAAGCAGAGAGAGTGCAGTCTGCCTCCTAGGAGGAAGACAGGATTTCCCAGAATCCTCAGGAGAATATCATGCCCTCACAGAGACATATTGGCTATGACCTGGTTGACAGCCTAGACGCCACCCCTTCGCTCAAGTTTACAGGAAATTATGTAACTGCCACAGTAAGGATAAAGTATCAATAACTCTAGACTTATTGGTAATGTATCTGCGTGTGAGGGGGTGAGAAATTAACCTGACAAAAATTCAGATACCTCCCACTTAGTGAAATTTCTATGAGGCCAGTGGTGTGGGCTTCTGAATTTTGTAGTAACATATCCGTCTTTGGAGTATGCTTCTCTGACATATTTATTAAATGATTTGCAGAACTGCTAATTTTGAGAGGGGCGCAGAATTACAGAAGACTTTGCAACAGGTTTAGGCTTCTGTGCAAGACATTTTGCTACTTGGACAATCTGGATAATCCAGTGGTGTTTGAAATGCCAGTGAAAGAGAGAGATGCTAACTGGAGTCTTTAAAAAAACAAAGCAAAAAGGTTTTATTAGCAATTCATCCCTATGTTATACAGTCCAATAATTCAGTCATATCAAGAAGAGTTGTAAGTGGAATAAGGGCTTTGGTGGAAGGGGGGCACAGAGGTGGTGGTGAGGTAAAGAGGTCCGCATAGAAAAATAACGTTTGGAAACTGTGGAAGTAAATGTACAATTCTGCTGCATGTGATTGAACTATGGAATGGTTTGATATATGTATTAAATTGTACAATTATGACCACATTCAATTCTAGAACATTTTCTTCTTCCTTGTATTCATTGATGTTCATGTAACTTTTTTCTAACTGGCAAAAATATAGACAACAAAACATTCTTCAATTCCACAACTTCTACATACATGTATAAATCAGTGTCATTGATTATATTCTCCATGCTGTACAATCATTATTTATATCCTTTTCCAAATTATTCTATCACCATTAACATAAACTCAAGTCCCGTAAGCAACAATTCTTTCCCCTTCACCCATGGCAACCATTGGTTAAATTCTTTCCTTTTTCTTTTTTTTTAGTAGTTTTCTTGATATGGTACTTACATATCATAAGCTTCCATGGTTAAATTGCTTTTAAAGAGTTGTATATACACCATCACAATCAATTCTAAAGCTCCCTCCCCCTTGCATCCATTGTTTGCTCCCCAAATCCCTTCATCCTCCCAACCTCCCACGCTGCCCCTACATCCCAGATAAACCATTGCATCAGTTACTCTCTATGCATCCTCTCCTCCTGTACTTCACAAACTGAGAAAACCAACAGAAACAATTAAAAAGCAGCAAGAAGAAAATAAGAATAATATAAAGATAAAAATACAAATAAAGAGTAAGAAAGAAAAGACCACCATAAAATTTTAAAAGCAAAAAAAAAAAAAGTTTAAAGCCAGAGAAGAAATTTCTTTCATGGAACAAGCAAGAAATACTTGAGTCTAGGATAAATTCAGGTTGGGTCAACTAATGAAATATCAAGGGAGGTCAACTAATGAAATATCATATTTATAACATGATTGAATCCACCATAATCAAGTTTACAATAATCTCTGTTTGATAGTAAAGCTGTTTGAATCCCATGCCTGTGGCTAGAGGGGATCTGCCAGAGGCTAACCTGATGAGACACTCAGCACATGGATTTGGGGCTCCCACAGTCTTCCATAAATTGGGTGTTCACAATTAAGCTCTGATATTTTCCCCTTTGTCATATTCTATTTGGAGTCTTTAGTAGGCTCCTGTTGGTGCATGACAGGGCAGATCCTTAGGGTTTTGGAGCAAAACCCTGTCATTTTCTGCAAATAACTACTCTCTTTTTGAAAAAAGCTTTGGGCCTGATGCTGGGCCTTAGTAGAGCTTGAACACCTAATTGTGGGTCACTAACTCACCATGTGGCCTGAGCTGTCCATCATGAACTGGGTGCTATTTGGCCCACAGAGTCATAAACTTGGGCACACATAGCAGCACTCCCTCATACAAAAATAAATAAAGTGGTATTTGCTAGATTGGGCTTGAGCGAGACCTGAAAGTGTAAGGAAGTTGCTAGGGAAGTGCCCCAAATGCTGATGGGCTCCAATTCTATCACATGACCTTCCCTCTCCAAGTCTGCACCTATGGGCATTCCTCATCAGCTGACTGAAGAAGAGTACACGCATGCCTAGTTTACAGGTGGCTCTGCTCGGGATGTGCACACTATTCGCACTATTCAAAATGGACAGCAGCAGCACCGCAGCCCCTTTCAGGGATCTTCCTGAAACAATGTGTTGAAGGAAATTTTGGCCATGGTCCCTTCGAGCAGTGCATCTGATTGTTCACTTTGGTTGGAAGAAGAAATGGCCATCCTTTCTCCTTCCCACTCCTGTTTAGTTTGAGTGTCTATGTATCCCTTCATGGATTATTATTGTGACTATTATTGCAGGAATGTTATGTAATAGTATTTACCTTTGTTGTGGGAAAGTAAATGGGACTAATACAGGTTTGACAGAGGATATTTCTACATGTACATATGTGCTAAAAACTATACCCATAAATATAGTAGGACCTATAGGGGACAAGGTTATGAACACTTTTTAAACGTAACCAAACACTTTTAGGGAATGAGCTCCTGGGCCTAGCGGCTTAGGACCATCATCTGAGGAGATCAAGGTTAATTGACAGAATGTAATTCACTACAACAATGTTCTACTCTTACATGTTCTTGGGTTTCAGAGTGTATATGCTCCAAACCAGCATCCCATATAGGGTGCTGTTTCTCCAATAGCCAGGGTTCACAGGCCCAGGCACCCAGGGGTGGAAATGGAGTGGTGACCTACTTGCAGAATGCTTGCTTCCTGTCCTTGTGACACTGCCCTGCTGATCTGAATGTCTTAATTCCAAATGGAGGAATCTCCCTCCTGCAGACACAACATTGATTCTTTTGAATTGAAATTAAGAATGGCACCCACCTACCTGGAGCTGTTCGTGTCTCTGGATCAACCGGTGACTTCAGGAACGGGAATGGGAATAGTGGTACCAGAAGCAAAGGGGGAGATAGGGAGAGAAGGGGAGGAGGGAGGAACCTAGCCCAACGATGGACACTAACCACACACACGCCCTCCCCCCAGGGGATGAGCAGAAGTCATGGGGGAAGGGAGGCAGTGGTTGGTGTAAGATTTGAAAACAATAATTTATAATTTGCTAAGGGATCACGAGGATGGGGTTGGGAGGGAGGGGAAAAAGAGGAGCTGATACCAAGGGGTCAATAGAAAGTAACTGTTTAGAAAAGAATGATGGCAACAGATGTACAAATATGCCTGATACAATTGATACAAGGATTGTTATGAGTTGTAAGGTCCCCCAATAAAATGATCTTTTAATTAAAAAATAATAATTTTATCTTCTTTTTCTCTGCAGTACATCTCTTCACACATTGTGAACTTTAAAAGTGAAATGTTTGAGGAATTCCTTCGGCATCTTTGCCACTATGCAGATGAGTTTCGGCAGACCATAAAAGTGGACATGCGGAGGCAGATGTTTGCTGAACTCTTCCTGTATTGTGACCATGGAAAGGTAGGTTAGAACTCTTAAAGAACTCCTTTTCATACTACTTGTGATAAAGAATTGGTTATAGATTTGGTGGTGGTGAGGGCATTAATATCTAATCCATGGTGGACTGATACTCAATGAAAATGAATTAATAGTGGAGAGGGGAGGGCATGCAACTACAGTACACATCTTTTATTATAAGATTAAAATCTGAATGTTTATATTTTCTCAAATTGCTTTCATTTTTTCTAAAAGAGATTTTCAACTTCTACACTTATCTTGCACGTTAGGTGGTAACAGTCTGCAGTCCCAGAGTTGGGGTGGTACGCCCCGAAATTACTTATAACGTGTCTCTAAATCCTTCTCCTTCCCTTCTCTAGTCAGTGGATTGCTGAAGATTGTTTGTGGTTCCTCTCTTTGAGGATAGCTTCCGACAGAAAAGAATAAATTACCATATGTTCGTATGTTGCTTCTTAAAACCAAGAAGAGTTTGTATCAAAAAGTGCTTCTAATGTGATTAACTATTGAATTGTATGATATGTGACTTATATGTCAATAAAACTGTTTTTAAAAATGCTTCTAAGAATGAGGCTAGGGAGCACATTTGTGTGACCATCCAAGACTCATTTAGAATACTAAAGGTTCGGGGAGGAGATGAGCCAGTCAGGGTG